GAGCAAGGGGCAGGCACACATACTGCTGCTCTTTACAAAAGATCTGGACTCCCTAAACTCAGGGCTTCTCTCCAGTTAACGTAGCCCACTCTATGGTGCAAGTACTACCCGAGCATCAGGAAACTAACACAAATGCTGGTTCTCTGCCCACTGCTATTACTATAGTAATAAACTGTCCTTCATCTCTTACATAGGAGTCTCATGTCTTCTACCAGTATCCATGAAAATGTGGCAGGGCAACTTACTGGTTTGCAAGTATGGTAAGATCTCAGACTATCATGGTTTCTGGACAGTTAGGACAACAAGGATGGGGTGCTGACAGAGCCATGCCTTTCTAGAAGAGAGAGGATAAGGCCCCTGAGAGCAGAGTTCTGGGAAATGAAAAGCTACCCTGGGATCTGAGAGCAATCCTAGTACTGGGTGGGAAAAGGTGGGAATAAGGACCCCCACTGTCCTACCTATTAATGGACACAAGTTGAATTAATAGAAACTGAACACTGAGAAGTGGGATTGAAATTAGCCACCCAAATGGTGACTTGGTTGTTGTTCATTCTCCTCTGGGCTGGCAGAGGAAGGGATGTGTCATGACAATGGGGCAACAAGCCCCATGTCACCACTGACAGGCACTGTGGCTATGACACCAAGCCAAGGAATCCCCAAAGCTGAAAGAGTATGTGTAAATTATGATGAACTTGCTGCCAATACAGAGCTTTAGGTGGACTAAAAGTATGTTTAGGTCCCTTTGGATGAACTATGAGGGACCAAAAGCGAATGCAAAAGCCTTGACTACTGGGGCAGAGGTGCCCTCTCCCTCTCTGCCCCCCTCCATCTCTCTCTATTTCTACCCCCAAACTCTGTCGCTTTACAGACGAAAATGTTAAGGGATGGTGCTGAGGTCTCCCTGACCACCAAAAAGGACTGTAGGCCATACATACCCCTCTGAAGCTGCCCAGGGAACTTTAGAGAGAGAGAGTTTCATGGCTTTCTTGGATAAATGCACCCAGGTTGTCACCATCCTGTCTAGTCCTATAGAGGAAGGGGACCTCCAGATTCAACAAACAGGATTTGGGCAGGATTTACAGTGGGGAAGGGAAATGAATGTGATTTATTGGGGGATGGCTCTTTGAACCACTTCAATGTCCTGTTATTGCCTCCCAATGTACATTAGGAATGGTGTACATTTCCATCCTATAAGTACCAGGGGGGCATCTCCCAACCAGGAAGGACTGCATGTAGAAAAGTACTAGTGCTTTTGGGGCCCCACAACCTCACTGACCACTTCGACTCTACAAGTCTCTGTGACTCATGATTTTCCTGACTGGCGCCTCTGACACAGTGACGCAGCCTCCACTTGTAGGTGCCCCTAGGGGTTTTGGACTCTGCCTCCCTGACACAGCTATCAGGCACAGTAGTGAAGCAGCTATTAGCAAGCTACTGGGCCTCTGTGGAAACTGAATGCCTGACTCACGGGAGCCTCATGAGTCTCCAGCCTGATAGTCCTACTTCAGGGTGGGTCAGCTCCTAACTCCATGACTAACAATGTAGAGAGTCAACTGAAAATGCGTTTTTGAGGATACATCTGACTTTGCCTTAGCTCCAGCGGATCTCTACATGACAAAGTAATAAGACCTCTGGAGGAAAGTTATCCCCTACTCCACCAGCAAACGCAGAGGCTCAATGGAGTCCACAGCCGGTAAATCATCATGTCTTAACATCATCCCTGCATTGTCAATACTCAGGTACAGATCCCTCCCTGTCAATTCTTTCCTGGACTTGTGAAACAGCCTTTTAACTTGCCTACCTGTATTCAATCTTACTTCACCTTCAATCCACTCTCCAAAAGCCGTCAGAACAATCTTTTGAAAGACAAACTTGAGTATTTCACTTCCTTTTCCCTTAAAATCCTGTAATGGTTTCCCCATAGCCTTCAATCCCAGCTGACCTGAACTTGTTATCCTGACTCATGCAGCCAGTCTTACAGTCAACTTACTGTCTACCTCTTTCCCATGCTTCCTTTACAACCTATATTACTGTCATACAGAGCCAGCATGTATTTTTAAAATGTACATGACCTAAATTAGTATTCAGTGTAATTTGGATTATCTAAGAACATGCCAATTGATGATTGGAAGAAGTATTCTAAGCAGAGTAGAGAGTCCATTTTTCAGTCTAGATTTCATATATACTAGACATGCATCAAGTAAAAACTAGAATAGATCAACAAAAGATTACTTGCATGGCAGAAAGTAACTACAGGATTGAAAGCTTTACAATGTCACATACAATAGTACCACTGATCATCTTTTCAAAATAAATAGCTACAAAAATATGTCTTTGCATTAGATGTTCTATGTAAACAAAATCACCCAGTATCTTTGAAAACAGCCATTCTCACCCATGGTACTATTATCAGGCTGTGGGATGTGTCACAAGAATGTGTATATTTAAAGAATCAAAATTCGAAGAACGATTTCCTTGTTTAAAAAGTTTCACAAATGTCACTCATTTGCATTTTGGTACACTTGCATGAGTGGGAAAGGGGTGAAGCTATAGCTAGTGAGCAGGAAATTATAATCCTGTATATGCTCACAGGAGGGTAGAGAACAAGTGAACATTTTCTGTTGTGAGTGGCAGCTGAAAAAGTTTTGAGATCTGATGTTTTAAGAATGCCTTCTAAATTTATAATATAAATTATAGGACCTCAAATTAATACTCTGAAACAGAATTTTAGTAAAGACTATAAGTCAGAGACCTAATTTAACTGCCAGCCCTCCTCGTCCTATCTGGGAGAGCATGTGGACAAGTTACCTAAGCTCTCTAAGCCTTACTTTCCTAATGTAAATTAGAGATTAACTAAAAATTAACCTACACCTTGCAGGGTTGCTGTAAAACTAACTTAAATGTATATGAAGCATTTGATACATAGATGTTCACTATTACAGCCTAATAATTAAGAGTCAAGACCCAGTTCTATCACTTAGTAGTGGTTGTCACTTTAGTTACTTAACCTCAGTTTCCTTGGCTGCAAAATGGGAATCCTAACATGTACCTAACAGAGTTGCTGCAAAGATTAAGTTTCAACATTTTAGAACACTGCCTGGCAAGTAATAATCATCATGTGTTAGTTATTATCAACATTACCACCACCATCACTGAAATATTAAGGAACTGTCACACTATTGGGTATTTCTTTCATTTCTGCTAGATGAAAAGGTATTCTTTGAAAAATTAACCTAATTTAGTGAACTGGTCATTAACATAGGATGAGCTCACACACATCCAAGAATTTGTATGCTTTCCAAAACTTTTAAAGTATAAGAAATGATGTGAATTGACTATTGCTCGTGAATGCTGACAAGATACATGTATCAAATATCCATTCTAAGTAAACAAATCCATTCAATGAACTAAAGTGTAACACAAAATGACATGCCTATTATACTTTCTAAGGCACAAAGATCTCATAGCAGTTTAATCAAATATAGCAATCCTCAAAATAGACAAACTACTTGAAAAAACTTTAGCTCAAAGCAATCAACATCTGTCTCCAATACTTCAGCCACATGATTACAAAATGATGTTAGTCAAAAACTCTTTGACTTCCACCATTCATTCAATTATGCAAAACATCTACTGAGTATCCACTGTGCACCAGGCAGGCATTGTGCTAAACTCTGGTGCTCTAACAGAAAAGGAGAATGAAAAATAATAGCAATCATGCCACTACAACACAATTAAATATTTCTGAATATTATAAATTTGTGTTCCTTAAACAGTGAAAGAGCAAATTATGGGCTCTCATAGTTGAGTGCATCAACACTTAATGAATCAAATAACTTCGTAAGTGATGACCTAGCAATTTCTCCAATGAAACTAGAAGTAAGATAAAGTCAGTATCCCCTTCTATAGCCCTGAATCACTTACAAGGCAAAGGTTAATCACCATTTCAAATATGAGTCAAATCACCTCAAGAATGACACTAAACATGATTGTTTTAACCTATTTTTTGGGTAAAGTCTAAAGTGAATTTTAAGTTTGTTAAATACCACCCTATAATCTACCAGAAATAAACATTCGCCCAGTTTTACTCAGCATCTGAAATTTTATTTTTGCTGAGCAACTAGATTTACTTTAATAATCATTCCTCCCTTTGACCAACTACTTTCTTAGGAGAGAAAAATCCAACCTCTATCCAATTACCCAATAATCTAGAGTTCATACTATATATCCTACAACAAGAGTTTCCTCTCAGGCAGCTACATATCTGTTCAAAGTTTTAAGGAACTGAAAAGAAATATTATCTAGCAAAATTGCTCCACCAAAAAAGAAAGAAAAAAAAAAGCCATTTTGACTATGAGTTAAAAAATCCTACTGCCAGAGTGCTTATCCAAAACCTAAACAGGGCCAAACAGCCAAGTGCCTTTTTAATACCTAGCTACCCAGAAGGAAGGGCTGTTGGAAAATGCTATTAATATTGATATAACAATTGTATCATACTGATATCAGGTAGGTGTACTTCAGGACTAAAAACCTTCCTTGGAATTCATTATTATGGAGTATGAATGCCACATGAAAAAAAAGTGCTGTCCTTTTATTTTATGAGTGCCAATTAGGCAGTTTTGGTTATACATTGCTGTACAAACCGGCTATCAAATAAGCCCCAATTATCAAGTGGTTCTACATCAAAGTTGCTGTTTCTACTATTAAATACAATTAAAGAATTAAAAGGATAGTATATTTTTCTTGAGGTACATTAGTCTCAAATTATTTGCAAGAAGTTCCAAACACCCAAGTGAATGACATTCTTTTAGCTACATAAAACAGTCCTCTGGAATGTCAGCCTGCCAAACTGCAAGACTATAAGAACACAAAATACACCGATACACATTTTCCACATAAAAATTAAGGGGTAAAATGATGACAAACTCAATAAATCTCCAAGAGGGGCAAAAAAATGCAAACAAATTCTTAAAGATCTTTGTCTCATCCAGAGTGGAACTTTATGTTACTGCAAGAACTCAGGCATTTCATCAGTATTCTGCACACCAGCGGACACTCAGTAACGGTTGTTGACAGATGAGACAAGAAAAAGTCTCACCAACAAACGGCATTAACAGGTAATGTTGCAAATCAGTCACAGAACTAAGCGAAGAGGAATGCGGAATAGAAAGAGTAACAATCTTTTGCCAAATCGTACATTCAGAGAAAATTAAACCAGCACAGATACTCCAAGAAAAAGACAATTAGAAGATACTTGGTAAGGCCCAAAATAGCCACGAGGAAAAACACACACACACGCAATTGCCACTTCCCCTACAGTTTGACAGTCACAGATTTGGATAATTATAGTAGAAATTGTCTGCTTTGGAAACACACTAAGACCACACCCTGGGGCTGCGAATCTGGACTTTAAATGCTGAGAATAAGCAGTAAATTGGACGGTCTGCGCGCACAGGTGGAAGGGAGTGGGGGGGCAAAAAACACAGCGACTTCAACGCGAGTGACCAGAGGGCTGGGTGTCGAGGCGTGGCGGAGTCCGAAGGAGAAGGGGGTGTGGATCTGGGGACGAGCACCGGCAGACGGCGTGCGGAGCGGCGGCTGCAGGCAGGAGAGGGAGCTGGCGGCGGGGGCGAACGTCTGCGCAGCAGGGGAAGAGCCGGGGAGCCAAAGGTCACGGGCGGCAGAACTTGGGGTGCGAGGGGGCGGCGAGCAGGCGCGTGGAGGTGCGCGTGACAGGGAGGGACGGAAGAAAGGGAAGTCCGAATGAATGAGCGCCGCGGGGGCCGGGCTGCGGGGCTGGGGGGCGCCCGCCGAGGTGCAGCCGCAGCGCCCGGGTGGGCGTCGGGGCGGGCCAGCCGCGCCGAGGGATTAGGAGGTGCCGCGCCGGCGCGGGCCGTACCGCACCCGCCTCTCCGCCAAAATGGGGTCGAGGAGCAGGAAAGCGAGGGGTGTGCGGGAAGGAGAACGGTAAAAATACATCACTCACCCTCCGCTCGAGCCTCCTAGCTCTCAGCCCCCCTCCTCCGCCCTCCGCAAGCCGCAGCGGCGGCTCCTCAGCGGCGCTAGAGGGAGCCCCGGGCCCGGACCGGGGCGGCGGCTGCGGCCGGACCGGGAGCCCCTCCGCACCTGCGCGTGTGGCGGAGCCGCGACGAGCCAGGCGGCAGTGGCACGGGCGGCTCAGAGCGGGGAGGGCAAGTGACCCGGATGTACAGGGTACAGGCGAGGAGGGGGAGGGGGAAATGCCAGGAAGTGAGGGCGCCATGGACCTGTCCGGCCGTGCGCATGCGCTGAGCGCCCGCCCCGCAAGGTAAATCCTCAGCCTTCCTTTCCCGCCCCCTCTTCCCCCGCCCCCAGGGGGCGGGGCGAAGCCGGAGACAGGTGGTCTGGCGGACGAGTGACGAGAGGAAAGGGGCGCGGCCCACGGCCACCGCGTCCCCGCCCTCCTTAAAGGGGCAACACCTTCGCGCGAGGCTGGCATCTGGGTGGGTCAGAACCTTGCATCCTTCTCATTTTACGGATGGGAAACAGATTCAGAGGTGGCTGTGACCTGCCTCCAGTCAGCGAGCTCCGTAATGGCAGGAACCGGAACTCCGGACTCGCAGATCAGGACTCTGCTGAACCCAGCGAAGCTGCCACATTCCCCTACCCCGTCCTGGGAAGGCTGCACAGGTGGGCACGCCTTTCCCTTGAGCCAGGTGCTGGACCTCCCTCACTCTCCCGACGTGGCCGATGCGCTTGTCAGGCTCCCGCAGCCGAAGAGATGCACCGTTATCGCCCGTGATGGTATCTCGGAGACGCCTTGGGAGGTGTTAAATGATCAGTCTGAGAACAGAAATCAGGCGCCACTTGAGACTTGTACCCGTGCCACGCAGAGCCCTTTCAGATAAATGTGACTTTGTTCTAGGGTCTGCTCTGGGCAGAGAACTGGGATGTGGCCGAGGGCACAGCATCTTCATTATTTAAAATAAATTTCCCTTATTTCCCCTGTCACTCTTCCAACATAAATGCTCTCTTTACATACAAAAACGGCATCCCATCTAGCTAGTTGATCCTAATGCTGTCAGAAAACCGGCAGATTTTTTTTCTCATTAATACTAAAGTGCAAATGAGTACCGTGTTACCTCTCCCAGGAGTGTTTTCAGTTTGCCGAGCAGATCATTACCATGGAAGTAAACGGCTGTGAACATTTTGGGGTAAGGACACTACTGAAAATTCCATAAAATACAGGCTTTTCTCCACAGAAAAACACGCCTATGCACACAAATTTGCATGCAATTTCAGGGGATTTATGGACCTAGAGAGCTTATCTATGAAACCCTGGTTGTGAACTCTTGTTATAGTCAAATAGTTAAAATCCAATAACTATCTAGGCTTTACCAGATATGGCCAAGAAATCACTCCTTGCCCCAAATACAGAAGAACAGCTCCTACTTTATTTATTTATAATTTAGCCTTTGTCTTCCCCTTGAGTTATAAGGAGACCAAATGGTATCAGCCATATTACATAGAAATATGTTAAGAGGGTTATGGAGACATTAAGTGGTTTTTTAAGGCACACACTAAGGGTAAGAATCCTAGGCTTCAGGCTTTTACCCTAATTATCATACTTTAGGATGATTTGGAAGTTCTATACTATATTATAATCTACATCAATTTCAGCTAAACTTAGGGAGCCGATATTTTTTCAAATATTGATGCTGACATAACAGCCCTCACAATCCAAGAATGCTGGCCCATTTTCCCAATATACTGACACCCAATCTTAAATAGCCCTGTCCATGTAAATCCATTGTCCTCAATTTGAACAAGAAAAAGAGTTCATACACCTACCCAATCCCTTAGATACGAGCTGTGGGTAACCAAACATCTCACCCCACCTCCCACCAAAAGAGAAATGTCTTCCAGTGCATCCTCAACACATGACCAACCAGTTTAGTTGGAATATCTCCATTTATAGGGAGCTCATATTGCAACTGTCACCCTCCTCTAATTGGGAGGAACCTCTTCTTTTACACTGAGCAGAAATCTGATACCCAGCAATTTTCAACCATTGGTCCTAATTTTATCTCTGGGAAGCAATACAGACATGATGCCAGCCAAGGGGAGCTTACAGTCCAGAAATGGTAACAGCCCATTGATGAGCAATAACTAAAATCGGATGAGCCCTGTGTGGAGAGTGGAATACTCTTTTCTGAGGCATCTTTCTCCTTATCAGCCCTAGACCCCCATTCCCGGCCAGGGTAAGAGTAAGCTCTACCACTACCCCGTGTGAGATATCCTAAAAGATGGAACCGGAAATAAGATCCTGAGAGAAGTGAATTTATTTTTCCATGACCCTTCCTTCATCATCCTGCATAAATGTAATCACATCAGCTGAGGTCAAAGCTTTCAAGTTTTACACTGAAAATAACCAAAAGGACCAAAAAAAAAGAGGTTCACGTAAGGGTGCTAGGCTCTCAATGATTACTTAATCACTGTGTCTTGCTTGCATTTATTTTTTGAGTGCGATGTGCCAGGCACTGTACTGAGCCCTTTATTTGCATTTCCTCTTCTGCTTTTCACAACCACCCTATATAGTATTACTATCATGTCCAGTTTATAAATGAGGAAAACCAAGGCTCAGTAGAAAACAGATCCAGGATTCAAACTCAATCTGTCAACTCCATAGTTTGTTTCTCCATTGAGGATAACTTGACTCTGTCTGCTTTTGTAAATTTCAGAAGACCCTGATGCTTTCTTTAAATACTGTTTTCTATGAATATCTCTTAAAACTAAGTCAACTTTAAATCATTATAAAGAATAAATTGTTTCATTCAATCATTGATTCATTCCATCAACACACAGTTTTGCCCCTCTATTATGTCTTATGCATCATGCTGAGGGTTTAGGGTAGAGGGAAAGGAAGATATGCGGTCCCTGCCCTGGAAGAGATGTAACCTCAGATCAATACACGGTGATTCATTGTAATTTAGGAGGATGGAGGAACCAACTCTCCCCAGGACAGCTGTGAAGGCTTCAGAGAAGATGAGCTTGGTTGTGAAGAGACTGAGGAAGGGCCGAGAAGAAAAGGCACATGGGCAGAGGAAGGGAGTTCATGAGACTGCAAAAGACCGCCTCCTGCAACATGATAAGGGCTTTGAACTTGCTTCCTGAAGGCAACAAGAAACAGAAGCTTCTATGAAAAGGAGAGACATAATCAGATGGGGTTTATATCAAGGTCACTCTGACCTTAGTGTCTAATATGAGCGACAGTCAGAGTGAGAATGGAGGCCAGCAAGCCAGTGACATTGTTGTGGGGTCTAAGCAAGAGACACTTAGAGCCTGGTCTAGGAAACTGGTGGTGGGGAGGAAGAATAAGCACCCGAACTACGATGCTTACTGATAGAAGAATCTGCAGGAGCTTATGACTAGTTCAGTCCGGGGGAGGAAGCAGCCGGAGCTGTGGGGTGCAGCCCCGAGGTTCTGAGCCCAGCAGACTAATTGGATGGTGACACATCCAACCCCCATGTCTTCACACAGTTTTCATTCCTGCCCTCTGCCAGCCTTTATCCATGGAAATACCATTGCTTCAACTGGTATCTTCAGAGATCTGCAACTATTTCCCAGTACTTTTTCATATCTCTATAGTCAGATTTATTATTTTAATGGCCTCAGAGTTAGAGTATTTCATCATGTGGAAATAGCTCAGTTTCCTTCAGTTGCTAAAGGCCCACACTCTGCATTCCTGGTTTACCCTAGACTCATTTGGCTCTGGGCATTTATTTTTTGCAAGGGATGAGCTGAGCAAGGAAAGAGAGCCTTTAGGTGAAGGGTATTGGAAAAGGGTGGCCTCAAGAGCCAGCAAAGTTTGGGCAACTGTACTGCATGTAGAAATTGTAGATAGCTGTGAAGGCTTCAGAGAAGATGAGCTTGGTTGTGAAGAGACTGAGGAAGGGCCGAGAAGAAAAGGCACATGGGCAGAGGAAGGGAGTTCATGAGACTGCAAAAGACCGCCTCCTGCAACATGATAAGGGCTTTGAACTTGCTTCCTGAAGGCAACAAGAAACAGAAGCTTCTATGAAAAGGAGAGACGTAATCAGATGGGGTTTATATCAAGGTCACTCTGACCTTAGTGTCTAATATGAGCGACAGTCAGAGTGAGAATGGAGGCCAGCAAGCCAGTGACATTGTTGTGGGGTCTAAGCAAGAGACACTTAGAGCCTGGTCTAGGAAACTGGTGGTGGGGAGGAAGAATAAGCACCCGAACTACGATGCTTACTGATAGAAGAATCTGCAGGAGCTTATGACTAGTTCAGTCCGGGGGAGGAAGCAGCCGGAGCTGTGGGGTGCAGCCCCGAGGTTCTGAGCCCAGCAGACTAATTGGATGGTGACACATCCAACCCCCATGTCTTCACACAGTTTTCATTCCTGCCCTCTGCCAGCCTTTATCCATGGAAATACCATTGCTTCAACTGGTATCTTCAGAGATCTGCAACTATTTCCCAGTACTTTTTCATATCTCTATAGTCAGATTTATTATTTTAATGGCCTCAGAGTTAGAGTATTTCATCATGTTGAAATAGCTCAGTTTCCTTCAGTTGCTAAAGGCCCACACTCTGCATTCCTGGTTTACCCTAGACTCATTTGGCTCTGGGCATTTATTTTTTGCAAGGGATGAGCTGAGCAAGGAA